TTTCTATTCCCCCTGTGAATAAGATCAGCCCCGGGCAAGCAGTGTGCATGGAGAAGGTGAGTGGTTCTGGGAGCTCCAGGAAAACCGGGTAATTGAGAAGAGCCAGGAAAAGGGATGGGAATATAAGGGTGTGTGTGTGGGGGGGGGGGGCGGAATGGGTGGGTAGGATGAGGAAACAGTGGAAACAGCTCCCTGGTAGATCTGGTGGGACATATCTGTCTGGAGACGCCTCAAGAAGGTGGCCCAGCAGTAGATGGGGTGAGGAAGGAGAGGTAGTGTGGAAAGGAGGGAGACCCGCCTGTGGGGACATTCCCTCTGCTGACCTGCTTGGGTCCTGGCCTCGAGGAAGGCGCTATTGTACCAGAATAGAGGGGAAGTTGAGAGGTAAGACTTAAGGAACTGCTGGAGATGGGGACACTCATTGTGTGCAAGTCTCCACGTCGGTTTACGCTGCCTGATGGTTCTTTTGCCCAATACCCACCTTGCACCTGTGGACGGCTTTGTGCATTCCTCTGTTGTGCACTCAGGGCACTAATTAACTACATAAGTTAAAGTTGATGGACTACCCTTTATGTGTGAGACATCGGGCTCATGCCCAGGGATAGGTGAGGAAAGGAGGGAGCAGCATCTTCACCTTCCTGATGGGACAGACAGTCTCATCAATGATCACCAGTTAGAGTAACTGCCATAAAATAAATAAGCCGGCTGCTGTGATGGTGTATCATGGTGCGGGAAGAGGGGTATCTAATTCAGGTAAGGCGATCAGGCGGGGTTTCTCTGTGGAGGTGACAGTAGCACGGAGATGTACGCGTGTGCTTTAATTGTGAGCTCCTCGAGGGCAGGGATTAGGTCTTATTTACTTTGAAAACTCCAGAGCTTAGAACACTGTCTAGCATTTGTTATGAAAATCGGGATAATTTTTATGGTAGGTATTCAATGAACTTTTGATGAATAAATAAATGGTCTCCTCCCAGCAGTTCCTTTTTAAAGCACCGTGTACTTCCTTACATGGAGACAATTATGTCAAACATGCCTGATATTCTTATGCCTGATCTGTCTTGACTTCTTCTTCTCTCGTCTGCCCTTCATTGATTTTTGTTTGTGTCTCCATTTGATGCCTCAGATGTGTTGAATCCAAACAGGAGAACACACACACACACACACACACACACACACACACAGACAATCACACACGCAAATATGCACACATTACCCACCACCTCTATTCCTGCAATGCTGCGGATTCTACCCTAGAAGCTATTATGAGCTCCTGAATAGAGCAAACCTCTCATTGACTACACATGCCTCCTTAAATGACCTTTGAATAGTGTTTTCTTTTAATTGCTTTGTGAAGTTTAACAGTGCCGATTGTGATTACTCTAGCTTATGATAAACCCCAGATCTATAAAAACTCCTGTTCATTCATTATTTTTTCTCTTGCTCCTTCTCAAGCTGTTATTATTATTATTATTATTATTATTATTATTTTGAATGTAGCGAGGAGTAGGGGGCGGGAGGAGGAGGAGGGAAATAAAAATACACCAACTTAACAAGAAAACAGGTGAAATAGGGAACCACTTCTCCTCAGGTGACAGACACCCAATTAGACACTGTTAAACAGAACAAATATGCTTTTATACAGAACAAGTCAGTCTTTTATATTTATTCTAAATTGGAAATATAATGGTTACCACCTTATCTTTAATGGAAGAAGCAGCTAATTGTTTCAATATCTCACTAATTCCAGCATCTGGGAGAAAATTATTTTTTACTATTTTACCAATTGTTCAATTTATACCTAGGTGTATAGTGCAGCATGGACAGACATTTCTGTTTCTTGATCTATGTCATGGCTGCTATTCCAGTTCAATTATTAATATGTGGAAGTTATAATTATTTTGAGTATGGTACAAGATAATTATAAGCCATAAAACAGCTCCCCATGCTCATTGATACCTCTTCTTCTCTGCAGATAGGCTGGAGTTTGGGCTTATGAGTTTTAGAGAGAGCAACACATATATGATGGGGGCACTTGGGGTCACAAGACACTGGATTGGGGGCAGAGGAGCCTTCCCCACCCCTGCAGGTCCTTTCCGTTCTCCATAAGCATCTCTCCTTCTGCCCCTCTGTCTCACCCACCTCCTATCTGGTCTCCTGCTTGCTAGCTGAGATTCTGCCATGGTTTAGCTTGATTGCTATCTCTTCGTCTCCTTGTTTACCCAGCGGCAGCTCCTGGGTGTCTGGTTGTGTTCTTACGCATGAATCTTGGTGTTGGGGCAGCTGGGAAGTGTGACAGCCACAGGCAAAGAGGGAGGCTGGGGTGGGGAGTTAGCTGCTCTGTTACCCCTTGGCCTTGGCCAATGCCTCCATTCCCTCCCTCTTTCTGAATACTTTGCTTTATTCTTAATGGGTCTACCCTTAGGGAAGGATTTTGGCAAGGGCTAAGGCACCTGGAAATCACTTATTCTTAATCAAGTTGACCACAGTCAGTTGAAAAGAATAACACATTTGTTTGGATTGCATGTGTTTGGAGAAGGGGCTTGGAGAGAATGGGCATTGTTTTGGTATCTTCCCATTTTATTTTATTTTTTAAAGATGTTTATTTATTTATTTGACAGAGAGAGAGAGAGAGAGATCACAAGTAGGCAGAGAGAGAGGGAAAGCAGGCTCCCCAATGAGCAGAGAGCCCGATGTGGGACTTCATCCCAGGACCCTAAGATCATGACCTGAGCCCAAGGCAGAGGCTTAACCCACTGAGCCAAGCAGGCATCTCAGTATCTTCCCATTTTAACAGGAAAACCTCTTTACGATGCCATCTTAGTTAAGTTGTTGTAGAAAGCAAAGCTAACTGTCTTCAGAAGTAATCAGATCCTGGTCTTGGTTCCAAGTCCTACTATAGTCCCCCTCCCCCGATTCCCTTCCTTCCCTCTTTACTTAAACAGTATCTACTCTCTACTTAATCTTAAATTTCTTTTTCCTACCATTTTCTGAATCCCTCATTCAGTATTACCATTACAACTTTCTGTTATGGCAAATGCACTGAGGCCCCATTTCTATGTTAAAGCCCCTAACACCCAACATGACTATATTACAAGATAGGGTCTTTACAAAAGTAATGAAGGTTAAAGGAAGTCATAAGGGTAGAGCCCTGATATGATAGGATGAGTGTCCTTATAAGAAGAGACACCAGAGATCTTGCTCTCTCTCTCTCTGCCAGGTGAGGACACAGTGAGAAGGTGGTCATTTGCGAGCCAAGAAGGGAGCTCTCACTAGAACCTGACCATGCTGCTACCTTGATCTTAGGCTTCCAGTCTTTAGAACCATGAGAAAATAAAGTTCTGTTGTTTAAGCCACCCAGTCTGAGGTATTTTGTTATGGCAGCCTGAGCGGACTACTATACCCCTCCCCTAGCCGCCTGTGAAAGGTTGATTGGAGCAGGGTTGTTAAATCGTGTTCATCAGCCTTGCGATGGGATTCTTTTTTAGGCCCCAGGATCTGCAGTCGGCGTCCTTCTCCTGGGTCAGACACTTGGAGCTTGAGGTTGCAAATCCAGCCCAGCTCCTGACGTTTTGGCTTCCCCGATCCCTGTGAACCTCATTTTCAGCTTCTCTAATGAGCAACGCCGCAAGAGAATGTGTGTATTCAGCACCACGGACAGAGGTGCCCTGTCAATTCGCACAAATGAGAAGTTACTGCTTAGCCCTCTCACCCAGGTGATGCTGAGAAGGGAGGAGGTAGGCTGAGCAAGAGAAAAGTCAGGGAGGAAGACCACCTGGCAGGATGCAGACAGTGAAGCCCCTAAGCCTGGCTGTGCTCAGCCAGGGGGCTCCTACAAATGAGAAGTGCCTTCTCGAGGCTGCTGCCTTCTCACACAGACGGGTTACAAAATGCAGGAGGGGCTACTCCTTGCGCTTAGTTGTGTTGGCCTGGCTCTTGTCGAATTGTCACCTGATGGGTGCTGGCCACAAACCTACAGCTGGCAAGGTGTGAGGTCTGGGGAGCCCGTGGGTGTGCTGGTGTCATGGACTGTGGGGTGGGAGAAGAGCCAGCTGAGGAGGAATGGGAAGAGGGCATCAGAACTTTGGTATAACTTTGGGGATAGTGGTGATACAGGTGAGCTGCCTCCTCCATGCCTGGAATGGCAATGAGGGTACAGGGGATCAGGCCTTGGGAGGGGAGGGGCCCAGCTCCCGGCAAGCTGTGCTGGTGGGGAGCCAGGGCTTCATTTGTTTGACTTTAATGAATAAATGGCATCCCCAGCCATTGTTTCTCTACTTTTGAGTCCTGACAAACAGTCTGTGGCATCTGATGGAGAGGGTTATTAGCTGCACGGAGACAGATGGTTGGGGATGAGGGGATTGGCTCTTTATTATAACAGGTCCACAAGTGACAGCATTCCATTTACTTCCCAGCCTCCATATCAATGTCAATCCCTTTCTGTCGCCTTCTGTGACCCAGTCAAGCCCCAGAGGAAAGACCCAGAGCAAGAGGAAGGCAGAATGGGCCATGAGTAAGAAAGGAGAGGTAGGGCCAGTGGAGTTGGGAAAGAGGGCAGATTTCCCATTGTAAGTTCTTTGAAAATAAAAACCCTGCTTTATTCTTCAGCATTTTCCCAAGTGTCCTGTAAGGGGCTGTTTATTCAATAGGCATTCAAAAAATGTGAATGATAGAAGAGAAAGGTAGAGAGGTCTGGATTAAAAAAGATAATAGAAGCAGATTTAATTGTGCTGGGTGAGTGGTTGGGGAGCAAAGGTAGGGAAGAGAGAGAAAGAGAAGTAGAGGACACAGACGGGGTTGGAAGACAGCATGAGAAAAAGTGCTTAGGAATCAGCATTAGAAATCAGTATTTCAGGCATTAGGTACTCTTCCCCACGTTTCTATATAAAGAGTTTCATGGAAATTAAACAGCTCTGTCCACTGTCCCAGGTTCTTCTTCCCGGGACCAGAGTTGCAGGGCAACTCCTCATTACCCCCAGAAGGGTGGGCAGGTTCTCACTGACCTTCATTCATTCTTCGAAACTTGTCCTTGGCCATGTAGCCCAGCACCAGACAGCATCCTCTCTTCTGGAGGCCCAGCTCTGGAAGAAAAGCACAGGTGAATGAGCGGGGAATGGATCCAGTATCAGTGAAGGCCCCTTTTCAGGGGGTATGAAGCTGCTGCCCTCATAAACAGGGCTACTTATATAACATTTACATAGCACTTGCTATGATCTGGGCATCCTATTAAGCCGATAATTCCTCATTTGATTCCCGCAATAACCCTGTGAGCTGTATACCAGTATTATCTCTATTTTATATCATCCCCATTTACAGATGTATTAAGTAGACAGCCTTAGTTGGAAGAGCTAGCTGGTGGCAAACCAGGAGTTTGAATCTAGGCAGTATGGCTCCAGAGTCCACGCTCGTAACCACTTCTCTACAGATTAGTGAGGTTCTATAGATCCCAGGCTTGGGGATTTTGTCCACCTCATGCTGGGACTGTGGTCAGGTCTGCCAAAGGAGAGGCAGAATCCAGCGAGTGGTGACTAAGATGGAGCAACGCAAGCAAACACAGAAGAGTGTAGTTTGGAGGAATGAAGAAGTGGTTGGGTGAATTTGGAAGAAGACACAAAAATGGAGGTAGAGGAGTCTACTTTTTGGGAGAGGATGAGTTTCTGGGTCTGGGGATTCCTGGACAATCTCATATTCAGGAACAAGGCAGTGCTGTCTTCAAGGGCTTATGAAGCGTGGACTCGGTTGAGCATGGAGCACAGGGGTTGGGATGGCTAAGAGACGCAAGGTGTAGATTCCGGTCCCACAGGACTTTGACACAACAGGGAAAAGCAAGGTGGAACAACAATTCTAGGTAGCAAAAGCAAGAGACTTTTTCTTTTTTCCACGCTATTGGATAAATGGGTGCCCCTTGGGCGTGGGTGTTGGACTGGAGTTACGTCTGCCTCAGAAGAAGGCTGGTATTCATCTTCTAAATCCTGGTTTATCTTAAGCACCTTATGGAGTTTGAAGCCATTCTACACCAAATTCCTCTTCTGACCCCCATGGTACCCCCTGAGGTTGGCAGACAGGTTATTGCTCTTCATACTATGCAAGTGAGAAATCCCAAATTCAAAGACGCTAAATGACATCCCAGGATTATTTAAAACTCCTCACCCCCTCCTATTTGCTTAGGACTCCTACAAATGCGACCGCTGCTGAGGCGAATGGAAAAGGGGTAGGATTTCTGGAAAGGGCATGTGACTGCACTCCCTCCCAGGGCTTGCCACACTTTCTGGGCACCCAGGGGCTCTCTCCATGGGTCCCACAGGGAAGGAGACCACACACTGAGTGGTGTGTCATAGCAACTTCTCTCGTGACACTGGGTGTTTCTCAGAGCCCAGGCCGGATAGTATCTAGGCTGTTGGAGCTTAGACAGGGTGGGCTCATTTCCCCCTCCCTACCTCTCCATCCACCTCTTGTCACCCAGGTCTACCCTCCATGGTTTGCAGGATGAAAGGGCCCATGAGAAACAGATAAGTCAAGCTTAGGGGCTCTTGCCCTAGAGAAAAACAAAGCATGGCGGGCAGTGGCAGAATGCCATGGCCTTGGGAGGTTGCTAGCTTTGATCTCCCAATTCTTTAAAGGGGTTTATTAACTATCAGTAAAGAGCAGAGAAGCAGATCTGAGCGTGCCTTTTCCAAAGGCGCTCACTTCTCTTCCGTCCCTTCCACGTGAGCTCGTCTGAAGGCAGGGCCAAGCCAACCTCACTTCAAACAGCTTTACATCTCCTGCGCCCAAATTGACGATGTTAAGTTCCCTCATCCAAGGCCTTGGCCCTTTCTTCAAGGGCTCCTGCTCTGTCGAGGGCCCTGCGGATCAAAGCCCCTTTGATGTTTACTTACTATATTTGTGGATTCTTTCTAACAACCACCTTCAAGAGACAGGAATGCAGCCTGCCAGGAGGGGGCCGGCGGAAGTACAAGCTGTGAGGAGGGGTGCTGAGCTCCCGCGAACAATAGCCTCTTGCCCAAGACTCTGAGACTGTAGAGAAGCCTCGACGAGCTGACGACAGGCAGAGTCAACCAGCCCATTATAATCGCACAGGCATTGTTCATTGCCAGAACGGTACAACTACTTACGGCTCTTATTATATTTCCATTGACTTCTTATGCCCATATAAAGCACGTGAGCAGGGATTCCTAATGGGAAAAGGAGCTGGGGTTCCTACATCGAGCCCAGGGGAACACGGGGTGGGTTCAAGTAGGGGGGCAGAAGATGTTAGATGGATTTAGGCCAAACATTCCTGTTGGTTTTGCTAGACTGCCCGCCTAAGCTTTCAAGGAAATGGAGGGGGCATAATTCTCCTAGAGATTTAGAGAGCGTGGTGGACCAGCTGAATCCAGATCATCTGTGTTGGCTGTCTCTACCACCCCAACTCAACCTACCCTTAGTCACATAATGCGTTGTCCGAGGAGAGAGTCCATATGTATAGTCATTATAAGAGTCTCACCGACCATGTTTGATTTTTGCAAATGAGCAGGAAAAGAATTTTTTAGAAACCTGATTAATAAAAGAAATGGAGGATGAGCAATTTCTCAATGTATCTGGCTCATTTAATTTGACACGTGTGGGTTAGTCTTAATTATTTAGGCAGCTGTATTACAAGGCGTTAATAAGCACACCGCAGACATGTACTGAGGGAGAGTGCTCTCCGACGGAGTCCTTACTGAGAAGTGGGGAGAAGCCACTGGGTTCTTTGCAAGAATGAGCAGGTTGGAGAATTAGTGAAGTGAGAATTAGATATCTATCCACAGGTGAAAGCTTGGGATATTCTTTGTAGAGATTTGTAGAGCTAAATTGGAGGTCACTGGGTACGCATGAGGAAGCAGGCCAACAGGGCTGAAGTGGGGGCGGGGAGGAGACTGTGGGAGCCCAGGTGGGGAGACGGTGTGTTGTCAAAGGCACCGAGCGAAGACAGGGCCAGGGGGAAGCAGGAAGCAAGCACTGTGTCTTGGGGCAACTCTACCTCGGCAGACTAACCAGGCACTTAGAGGAGAGATGGCCGAATGTGATACAAAAAACAGGAATCTTTCACTCTGTGAGCTAGACCAGGCGCCAGACTGCCTTCGTCCTTGTCACATGGCACTGGGACTGAAGGTGGAGTCACATCATAGATGCCCATTTTAACAGCAAGATATCAGGGTTTTCTCCCTGGAGACCTTGGGGCTGCAGCCTTTGGCAAAGCACCTACCAGTAGCAGAAGCACCAGATGCACCAAAGGCGCCCATGGAGAATGATGAACGTGAATCAAGTCATCCTGGCTTACAAGGAAAGTTAATAGCAAAGGAGTCCAGGGTCACCTGCAGAGGGGCTGGGGAGGGTACTGTCTGAGGAGAGCAAAGGCTTAAGAAATACTAGCATGAAAGGAAACATTTATGGGGAAAGCACATGTTTCTTGGGGAGAAGGGTATGTACCCCAGGAACTCCAGGCGTCTAGACTGAGTGACAGAAGGCTCAGGACTCTGCTGTTTCCAGCTCTGAGTTCCTGATCCGGAGCGCAGTGCCTGGCACCTGGCGGGAGCTCAGGGACAGTCTTCTGATTGAATGAAAGGGCCAACCACTGACTCTTGGGTTAATGACCTGCTCTCCCCTCCCCCAGGTCAGAACAAATCAGGTGGGGGCTGACGTGGCACAACAGAGTAAGTTAGGTGAGGGTGTTTGCCGAGTGTACGAAAGTTGTAATTCATTGGAAGAGAAGTCTCGGAAACGTGAGATTTCCTCTGAGAGGAGTAAAATGGGATGGCTTTATAAATGGAACCGTTTTCCTTCAGTTTCACAGGGTGAAGATGGGCCTTTTTCTAGCTTTAGGATTTCTTTATTCTTAGTAGTAATAACAATGATACAGTGCTATTACTTCACATTTACGGGACTCTTGGTTTTTCACGATGCTGTCATATTCACTACCTTATTAGAGGCTAACAGTAGCTCTGTGAAGTAGGCGAGGAAGAATGGTCTATTTCCTCCATTTTGGTCGCAGAGACCGAGGCTTTGAGAAGTAAAAGGACAGTTCAAGGTCAAAGCGGATAACAATGCTCAGGCTAGAATCCAGGTCTGATTTCTAGCTTAGGTCTCAGGGTAAGGTCTGGGGTCCCAGGGCTGCCGAGGATGTGGATCAAAACAATAGAGGACACAGGTCGCTGGTCCTGGCTGGGCCGGGGTTCCGGCCTGGACTATGGCTCTCTTGTACCACAGGAGGCGACTTTGAAGGTAAGGATGTGGCACAGATAATCCAGTTAAAATGGCCACTAGGGGGCCTGAAGCCAATGTGACTGGTGTCCTCATAAAAAGGGGAAATTTGGAGGCAGACGGACACACACACACACACACAGAGGGAGGATGCCATATGAACATGAAGATGACTGTCGACAAGCCAAGAGAGAGGTCTGGAACAGATTCTTCCCTCACAGACCTCAGAAGGAACCCACAGGCCAGACTCGCATCTTAAAAAGATCGTTTTAGCACGGATGCAGACGGCAGAGGGGCGGGGGTGAGCCCAGACGAGGGAGTGCATTTGTTTGATGCCTGCCATCCTCCCGGTGCGCAGTGACGGACTGACATCTGCTCCCTGTCCCCGCTCTCGGAAGACAGCCTGAGATCAGAGAGCCAGTGCAAGGACCCTGAGCTTTCTCAGGGGGACCGTCAGAGCCTCTATCTCCCTGCCACCTCGACACAGGAAAGCAGTGGTGGGGGGGTGGCACAAATAGCTCGCCAGATGGTTCCCGAGACCATATGGAGAAGGCGTCAGCTGGACCTGGCTGGAGTCACCGGGAGGCCACGTATGTTTTGAAACCGTCAGTCCTGGCCGGAGCCTGGCTCCCACACGCCAGAGTGAGCAACGCTCAGGGCTTCTCTGCGCCTTAATGTTCTCATTTATAAAATGTGGACACGGAGAATAAGACCCTCTGCTCATGGTTAATATGAAAATCAGAGGCACTTGGGGGAAGGGTGCCTAGGATCAAGTAGCTGATAAGGGCGAGTGCAGGAAACAGAAACGAAATATCAGATTGGGGGGTAGGGACCGTCATGTTTATCCTCCCACTTCTTT